AAAAATATATATGCTTGGAAGGATCTTTAGGTAAAGCTGGGAGAGCATAATCCCTTTAAACCATTGTCTTGATTCCACATGCATTCTGCTAAGTTTAAATAATTCCAATTTAAGAATAGAACAATGGAAAACAATTTTCTCGAATTTGACTGACATCAAAACTTCAAAACATTTTTTGACAACTTCAGAAAACATTCCATGTAAATATTTTTCAAAATGTTGCTCAATACTTAAGTAATCACATCTAAAGGTGATTTATGGCAAGACTTGGGCATGTGTTTGGTACACTATTAACACTGTATGGGAACCACAAAGCTAGCAATAAACAGAAATTCACCCCTTCCATCACTTTATCTGCTGGGTTTGTGTAAAACATAAAACTTGACTGCAACTATGGTACTAATGCACTACATACTATGTGATTACTGCTCTACAGAAGCACAGACAGTTCAAAAATGCCTTAAGGCACCATGAACATAGACATTGCTTAATTCAAAAGATCCAAAGGTAGGCATTGTGGCTAAAAATAAATTAGGGATTCCATTGTAACTTAACCTTGTGATTTACAAATGACAAAAAAAAAACATCCCTTTGAGAAACACTTGAGTGCTGTATTATCATATGGACAGCTCTTTCGTTATTTTGCTTTGGTCGATTGTTTGTGATATGCAACAAATAAAGTATGTCTGTAATATTGAACAGTTTGATCAGCTAACATCCAAAGTAGTTAAAAGGTTCTGAGAATCGATGATATTACTATACATTCAAGGTTTTCACAAGCTAAAAATGACCATTTGCAAGTATAAGTAGGAAAAAAAAATGCTCTCTGTTCTTTTTAACTTATTCCTTCAAATCTCTCCAACAACCCTTGGAACATTCACTTTACTGTTGGCCGCTATGTGTATGCCATTTATTACCCACTCATTTCAGTAATTTCGGGGGCTGACAGAAGAGCCTCTTCAAAATAAGATTTACAAATGTGTTATTGACCAAGCAGGAGGTCAAAATGGCTAGACATTAGCCAAATTCTTTGTCTGTGTTTTTATGGACCAAGTTGAAGTCTTGGTCAATAAAAACCCAAATAAAGAACAAGGCTAATATCCAGCCATCTTAACTGAACAAGCTTTGTCGGATTTATGATATAGCAAAACCACCTCACTTTATTAAGAATCAAGAATGACTCATGTATTTTAAGCACTGGGATAGAAAGCCAATTGTGTTGAAGCACATTAAACCCGTGAGAGTCTTGTAAGTTTTCTTTAATAAGACTGTCTTCTGTCACTTTTTGTGACTCCATCAATGACAAAGTCCAAAAATTATAAACCTTTTTTTTTTCCCCCCCTTGCCTGGAATCAAAGCAGGCAGTCCTGTGCAGGCAAGATGGGTCCATCTTCCCCCCACATGGTAGCCAATCATAACACAGGATTTGATTCATACATCCGACGGGCGCTGCAAGCAGCATAATAATATTAGGAAAACTCTTTTAGCTGGCTGTTCAATACTATTCCACTTAAGATAAACTATTTGTTCCAATTTTTACTGAATAATACTGTCAGTTCACAAACCTGTTATTCCAAATACTTTTGAATAATTCAAGACTCTCCTTCAACCGATTCTGAGGAAAAAAAGGAATTTATAAGACTTGTATATCATTATTTTAAAAGCCAGTAACAACAATTCAAGACTTTTCATTCATCAAGCTTAACCCTTTGACTCCCAGAAGTGTTTAACATTTCACCTCTTTACAATATCCATACATTTTCCAGTAAACAGGGTATGAGAACATTCAAACTTGTAACTCAGATCTAACACTGAATTCTTGTAACTTATTTACAAGGAAATCTGTAGAAGTTAGAAGGGAGAATTAACAATCAGATCTTAGGAGTTAAAGGGTTTAGAAACTAATCACAGGAGTGAAGGAGGAGTTCCACTCGTTTAAGAAGGCTGCATCAATACTAGTCATCACCAAATGAACATGATTAAAGAGCTGACATCAAAATTAGTACTCTGTGATAACTTCCTTCAACAAAAAGAAGAAAGAGATTGTTGATGTTGTTTGGTCAAAGACACCAATATACTTGGAGAAAAAAAAGTTTAAGTGTTTACGACAGAACTCAAACCCATGACACTCCCACTGTCACATGTGCTGTAGTTAGGCCATCACAAATATCTCGCACAGCCACCAGTGATCAAAAGTTATTATGATCATTTCGTGAAATAATAATGGTTGTGAAGTTGGTAAAAAACCAAAACAATGACGTTGAATGATGACAATTTTATGACACGTTTCTCTTTGGGCATAAAACTGCCTCACTTGAAACACCAGTCAACCATAACCCACATTTCCATCATGTTTGTTCAATAAATCATAATTAAAATCCACATGGAATCAAGGATATTTATCATATGAACTTAGTTTCATGACTTAGTTACCAAGAATCTCTCAGAGGTCAGTCAATATTTCAAAATTTTTTCCATGTATGTTCCCGCCACAGAGTAAAATCACAATCTACCACACTGAGTGCCAAAAGTGCGACAACAGAGTTTAAGAGTGGCATATTGAGTAAGGATATATTTTAGGTCCTCCCTCTCAAACTTTTAAGCATGTTGCACAAGGAAACATTGTATTTATTTCCTTTTCACCATTCTTGCAGAAGATGAGATACAAGACAAACGTACCTGGCTAGGATCTTCTCTTAGTACCAAATTGTAACTACTGCATGCAACGACAAATATTATTGCTGTAACATCTGTAAGCAAAGTGAAAAGACATTGTTCAGTTACAGGCTGAAAAGGTTGTAATCTCAATTTTTAACCACAAGGCTGATGATCCTTGATCAGCTCATCACATGTTTAAACAGTACTAATTTTTTTTTTATTAACTTCATTGCCAAAACTTTTCCTAATACCAATTCAAATATACTGACACTTATTTTGGATTGTACCTTACTTACAACTAGCTAATTTTAAATAATACCTCACTGAGCACAAAGCTTTGTGGTTTTTGTTGCAATTATATGTAAAGAATATTGATTTCAACCAGAGTTAGTTAGTACCAAAGCTTTCAAATGAGACACTTAAATGGACTTGTACTACAGCATTCTCAAGTTTTGGGGCTTAATTCCAATTTTGTGTAGACAACAAGATTAACAAAGAGTTTCACAGTACTTACATCAGTGATTACATCACTGTGTGAATCAGAGGAAAGATCCATGGAAAGATAATGAAAATGATCATTTCAGGTTAAACCCAATTCGGAGCAATTGTACCTTTGATTTGGGTGTTGTACTGCTGCATAAACCATATTTATTTGAACACTAGGTTATAAGATGCCTACCATTAAAGCACTGTATCCATTTCCTTCTTTCATCTCTTTGGCCACCCACATCAAACATGCTGTAAGGATAAAAATAGACTCCTTTAGCCGATTCCTTTCCAAATAATTTAAGCCTTTAACTCCCACAAGTGACCAAGACAGAATTTCTCCTTACAATATCAATACAATGTCAAGCCGTAAAGTGATGGGAAAGAAGAAAAATATCACTTAGGGGACTATAAGTTGATCCAATACCAAATTCTCCAAACTAACATCACAAGAACTGTACGGGAGACAGTAAGGAGAATTATTAATGAGATCTTGGGAGTTAAAGGGTTAAAACATAATCTCATGAGTAAAGTAATTTAACATTTCCTTTATTCCAGTTTACTCATTAGTAAACTTCTAGAAAATAATCATCAGATTTAAAAAGGTTCAACTAATGAATACTATAATAGAGTACACTAGGAATAACATATGCAAATCAGAGACCTTACATCAATAAACAATATAAAAAGCTTCAGAAAACTAACTGGAATTTCACTTTATCCACATTAAATCTTGTTTCAATGATTCCTGAAGTCAGAACTCGACATCTGAGCAGATCCTGGAAAATACATATTTCAGGTTAAGCAAAAATCAGAAAGCTTTTGATATACCTTCTATGATACTCTAAAACAGTAAGTTATGGAGACACTGCACTACTCAACTGAGATTTTGACCTTTCACACCTCAAAATTAGTGCAGTTTTCTCTACGATTTCCAGGTTACTCACAATAATAATTTATTTCACAGTCAAGAGCTCCATTAGTTGGCAATCATTTCTTTCATTCTTGTGACTCTCATGTTTGATTTAGCAGCATTATTGTCAGGATGAATTAGGGGTTATAGGGTTCAGACACCAATAAAAGAAAAGAGTGATATCATAGTGTACCCAAGCCAAATACAGGCAATCCAAAAAATATCAAAACCATGAAGTTCCTTCAAGCTTATGAAAAGAAAAATAAATAAATAAATAAAAACTACCAAAACAGAAACCCATTACAGTTTTCAGAGTTACAGCCTTCTTGTCTCAGTTTCAGTGCACCAACCTGTTCCACTGGAAGATAGTCTGGCTGTTTCACTGTGTCCACCCTGTCCAAAAAACTGGAGAGGAAAAAAAAAAAAGAATGTAAATACATCCAGCCACCTTCAGGCCTTTCAATTTGCCACAATACCTTTCAAAGCAACTTTTTACTATTAAACAGACTAACAAGTCAATATTGAATTTTTCACTCGGAAAAATTCAGTTTACATAAAAGGAAAATTGATTTCTGAAGCACTCAATTGATCTCACACAGTGCATAATTATGCTTGAGTATCTCAGATATACTTTATCAAAATATGCAATTATTGAGCTATTTTAGGAATCTTGAAGATGAAAATCAATCTTCCTAAAGAAAAGTCTTCAGATTCCTTAAATGTCCAAATATTGTACACCACAAAAATTGAACTAAAAAAAGCAAAGAAAGGTGAGATAGTGGGTATACTAGTGGGTAAATGCCCTTGAGAGAAACTCATGCACCTTCTACAGGAACAATGAAAGAGATGTGGCTTTATGACAACCAGTTCCTGGTAGCCAGATCACCTCCCTTGAAATAGAGTTATGCAGTTTGCTTCCTTCACAGGTCTCAGATTTTTCCTCATTTTGTCACATTTGTAACTTATGAATTTGAAAAAAAAATCTTTGTTCTCTCAGTATCTGGCAGTGATGACTATTAAAAAAAGACATCTTCTAGCCCCTTTGGTTTGTTGACCTCTTAAAAGCTTCGTCATCACCAAACAATATTTTAAACCAGCCCTAATTTCATATTTTAAATTTTTATAATTTTTTGGTATTTTTACCACTGTGCAGTGATAGTGGCCTGCCACCCTGACAAACAGAAACAATTGGTTTCTTTTTCAGCTGTTGGATATGATGATAAAAATAGTCTGTTGTGTTTAAATTTATTACATCAATATCAATAACAAGACGCAGGCTTCTATGGATATTGATGATTCATGCACATTGCGAATTCCCCACTGATGAAGTCAAATAGGAAAAATTAATTCATCTTTTAAATTGCTGATATTAAAATATAATATACCATGGCTCTGATAGAGCATGTGGTTGTGAATCTCAACATCAAACACAAACCAACTTTCCTTTCCTTTCTCTCTAAGAAAGTCATGTATAGTGTACACAAAATTTTCCATCTACAGACCAATGGTGCAGTTCAAACATTTTCTTGATTCATCATCATCATCACATCAATTTAATTTTAATTCCCTTTCCAAAGCGTTCCCACCAAAATCCAAAAAAAGAAAAGTGAAGTCAAACTGGTTTGTAAAATATTACACCAAGAAGAAAAATTTTTGAACCACAGAAATTGTCTATTTATCAATCTATTTATAGTTCATTCATTCAGCCAATTCAAAACCATAACTACATCAAGCATGCAATAATATGTAACACTTGTAGTATACAGTAAAACAAAGTAAGCAGTCACCCTTAAAACAAATTTCTCAATAAATTTCAAACTGTGACACACATAAAACTCCACAATATACCTAAGAGCCGACATAAACCCATTTAACCCTTGATTTTCAGTCTTTTAGCAGAATACTTTAATAACAACTGGAAAGGCTCACTTCATCATAAGATTTGAAATAGAAGGAAACATCAATAACATATGGTTTTTAATTCAGAATAGCCATTGCTTTTGTAAATATCATCCCACTAAAATTGCCTAACCCATTACACCCTAACATCAGTATCCATAATCTCCATACTGCTCTCCATACATTTCTTTTAGCGCTGATGAGGAGAATTTGATGAACAATCAAAGCTTCTTTGGGCTGCGATCATTTCCTTTATTCTCAAGATTTTAATGAATGATTCAGCCATAATATTGTAAGGAGAAATTAGATGTTGGTCACTCTTACATTTAGAGGGAAATGACTCTTATTAACGTTATGTAACATCATAAGGCTGTCACATCATAGGAACTAACACTGTTTGAGTCACATAGGGCTATGATATGACTGGTATTCGAAACACTTTCAATGTTTTTTGCTTATTTTTGTTTGATCAAAATATCTAAGAGAATAGTTGTCAAAAAAAGAGAAACACTTGGTCTTAATAAAGGTTTTTTTGGTTTTTGTTTTGTTTTTTTTTTTAAAAAAGAAAAAAAATACATGTGAGGTGGGCTCATGAATACATTACCCATAGAGGTAGTTGGTGCTGGCATATTCAAAAAACATTTGATGAAATAAGGAATAATCATATTTTAAAGTTTGAAAAAAACAAAACACAAAAAAGCAGCTTCCTCAAAAAACACCATGGCAGATTTTGTTCACATCCTTCATGAAGATCTTATTTCATTCCCAGGTCATTCCACAGAAAAACGAACACAACCACATCATCATCAGACGAAATATAACTCTTTGACCACCTCTAACACTTTTTAAATCCCCTAAAATTTACCCCTAAATGTTTAGCTGTGGCAGTTAATTATTTCTGGCACTGCACTATCCAACAACCAATACCAGAGTAAACTGCAAAGTAAGTTTTGAGCTGTTGTACTCAGTAACTACAATTTTTTTAACATGGATGTCTGTTAATTTTTTTCCTTCTATAGCCAACATTTAAATAATTATAAAACCTGAACCCAGTTTGCCATTAAACTTTCTTTCTCAGACAAATGAACCAGACAACAAACAAAGCTATTTATAGCACTAGTGAATTTCAATACCCCCACTGAGTATCAGATTCAAATTACTTCTACATTCTCACTCATATAGCAGACCCACAACCATCAGGAAAATCTAAAATACTCCTCAAGATTTGTTGAAACACCCTGTTCTCCTCTCAATAATGCATGTTCTCAAAATGTCCAATTTTCCTGTTACTAACATAAAAAAGAGGGAAATGGTTCAACAAATGTGAAAAGGACTGTCTGTAAAATTATACCACATCGTGACAACTTAAACACAGGTGAAACAGAGACTATTTGCAGCCAAAATATTCAATAACTGTGGTTCATTATAGGTTGTCCAAATTATACAAATTCCACTCTCATTCTTCTTCATTACCCTGAAACCACATGTACAATGACAGAACCTTTGCAAAAAAACTTTCCTTCGGTTGTAAAATGTGTGAAATTCCCACCTGACTTAAATATGTTGTGAGTAAGAAAGCTGGAAGAATTCACTTCTTGGTACAATACAGAGGTACATATTTGCTTGTGTTAAAAATGTTTGTAGCCATGATTTAAATTCAAGAAATTTACCATTTGTAAAGAGCTCTACCACTAAAGTAAAGTACCATGTCTGTTTTATAACATCACATGGTTTGCCAATGGAAAACTGATCTCAAATCCAGAGTCATGATGCACTCTCATCACAAAATATTGCTTCCATAAATCACTACTTATCGTAGAAAAATACTATTTTTGTTTCCAGGACAAATCAGGTAAGCATTATGTCAAAGGTCAATAATTCTTTCCAAGAAAAACACTCCAGAATTTCCAAATGTAGAACAAGATATAGTAGTAGTTTCCTGGGCCTTAGTGGGATGAGTAAAATATCATCTTTTTGACATTGCCTACAGTGATGGGTTGACAGTGAAATGCCATTTCACTCTGTAGACTACCCTTGCCAAATTTTGCTAAAACACCCTGCTCCCCTCACAATGTTCAGTTTTTATAAGACTTAAACTCCCATGAGTGACCAAGACAGAATTCCTCCTCACAATCTCAATACAATATCCAGCAAACAAGTGATGAGAATAATAAAAAAAAATCAATTAGGATGTTAACAAGTTGATCTTATACCAAATTCTCCAAAGTAACATTATACAAATTGTATGGCAGATAGTATGGAGAATTATTAATAAATCTTGAGAGTGAAAGGGTTCAGGCAGTCCAATTTTCCTCTTACCAACATTCAGAAGTTTCAATAAAAGTGGACAACAGGCCAAATTTGCTGTCTTTATTAAAAGCAAAAATTGCAGCTTAAATTCTCTGAAACTATCAACATTTGAGTAAAGAACAAACTTCCAATGGCAACCTGATTTCTTTGCCATCAACTTCAAAAGTTATTAAAACCCTTAAACATTGATAAGGAGGGGAAGGAGGAAATGTTTTAACGATTATGATGAACATTACAGTTTACACCCAACACCTTAGGTGTGGCACCTACTTGTTAATAGCACAAGGTACTTTCTGGATTATAGAAAAGTTTGATTAAAAGATAGAATCCAGCTATTGAGGAAATCATGTAAAGGTGATATATATATATATATATGTGTGTGTGTGTGTGTGTCTGCTGCTCATTAAACCAGAACAAGTTTTCAGTTTTAGCCTCTTCTGCAATAGTTCATTAAAATTTCCCCTTATGCAATAAGCTACAGCTAAGTCATAGATTAGTCTTAATCAACAGAAGAGACTTTTTCCATGAACTGTTTCATATCTTCTCATATTAAGCTTGCAACAACAATTAACTTTTACATATAGCAACAAAGTAGAATTGAATACTACAACAGTGAAGTTCTAATGCGAGTAATTGCATTAGAAGCAATGCCCAAATGCATTCAGTATAATTTGATGAGGGTTTTTTCCTCACCATTCATTGATTTCCACTACAAAACAGCTTATGAAGTACAAGAAATGTTTACATCAATGCCTGCACTACTGATAGCTATGTAAAACAGGGACTGAACTTCAAGAAGGAAGCTGTTAAGGAATTTTTTAAAAACATTTTTGCTCTCTTTTACTCATACATTGAAGAAACACACTAGCTACTTCCAAATGAAAAGCAATTTCGCTCATACACTGATAAAACAGTGCAGATCCACATTTACAGAGCCTGTTTTCTCATCTTTCTTGTGATTTTAACTCAACTGATTGAATGTAAAAACTCTACCAAGTCAAAAGAAGCCCAAATGTTTTTCTTGCTCTGACACAATATGAAGCAAACTAAATTTAGAATTTTTAAAGAAAGATTGGTTAGTTAACACTACTGAAATAATCTATTTATGATTTTTAGCAACATCTATCCTCAGTAAATTGTAGCAAACAACAAACAAACAAGTAAACAATCAGGGTAAATAACCATCCATATTCAATGGTAAAAACAAGATGAATCTAAATACCCAGAATATGAAAACATTTCTTTTGGCATGTCTTAGTTTAAATTATATAAAAGAATATTCCCTTTGCATACTATCAGAAATAGAACTTAGGTGAGCTTCAAAACAATCTTAGCTTTTACCTACACAGAGAATTATCTAGCACTAAAAAGACAAAATGGTTTGATGTTTACAACAACACAAGTCTATATGAAAAAATATCCCTTCAATTTGAGCAAAGTACTATTGTAACCACTAGAAAATATGCCTCTTAACCTTTACTACACATATATATATATATGAAAAATGTTTTACACATTTCCACTATGAAATGATTTTACCTTATATACATCAATTTAAAAAAATTTTAAATTTTTTGTTCTAACCTAAGCATTTCTATTAGTGGATGGGGAAAACATTCAGCATCAACGAATAGTAGCCCTCACAAAAAAAGAATGAGACTGAGGGATCGATGATATAACTCGAAACATGCAGATGTCTACTTGCAAGTGAAATGTCAAGATCCAACAATGTTTCTCTCTTGTGAGTGAGCAAATGCTTTAAATCTGGCAAACAAGAATATGCTGTTGATCTATTTCTGCCGAGGAGACACACGAATAGACAGCCAAACACTTCCAGACCTCATTTCAATCGAACCTGCCTGAGTCTGTATGTTTGATCTAAAAATAGGATTCATGTGAATGACCCTACCTACAGGCAGTGATCCGTTTTCGTGAAGAATTCTTCTTCTGTCTGGTCAGTTCGAATTATAATTCAAAATACCACTTTTTGAGAATGTTAGACGGTTTATACGTTTTCAATACGCCACCTTCACAATTATTACGGATACAGCATGTACAGATCCGCTCGAAATGCTATATTCCGTAGCCATTGATGAAATGAAATCGACAAAAAAATAAATTTCGATCGGTGAGTTCGTGCTAAGATCATTTGGTACTTCAACAAAGATCTTATTCTCTGCTCAACGGTCATTTAACCAGAAACATTAGATGTTATTTTATCAACAATAAAACCTAGCGTAATAAATTCGGAACACTGCGAGTTTCTCTATCATTGAGCTGTCTTAGTTTCTGCATGGAAACCAATTCAAAACAAAGTTGGCTGAGAAATGGTTCACAGTTTTCATGACAGAGAACCGGTATTTCATAATTTTTCCATTCCAAAACCACAGACTACGTATTCCAAATTACGGTTAAAATTTCTAGCGGAGTGCATTCAATAAAACTGGAAGCATATGTATCATTCTATCTAGGTTTCGTATAGCGATCACAACGTTTCTTCCCTATAGAGGTACATCCCATCAGAAATCGGCTTTCAAATATTATCCTTTAGTTTATCATTTGACAGCCCGACCGCCAAGAATATCTACGAAACCGTTTACCAACTACTTAAACGGCATCAAAATCATTATGGATAAAAACCATGAGACGCCGAAGCGTACCGGACACAAAACACAAGTCCAAGTAAAGGAAACACTCTCCGTTCGCATATGGCTTCTTACTCACAACGGTTCGCACAACAGCGTGACAGAGGTTTTCGAACATAAAATCACGATTTTATCGCTTCTAAAAACCGCTAGAAAATAAATAATCCTTAGCGAACATGCTTACACGGAATTAAAAGGAAACATTCCTCACTGGCAGAAAATAACATCTAAGAAGTTCTATGACCACGAATAATAATTCTTTTCCAGCCATTTTGTCGGGGCTACTTAGTTTGTAAACACTGCCATCTTCCTAAAACCCCTTGGCTACGTTGAACACTCGACGAAGACTATAAAAATAGCTCAGTAAGCGCATTTTCTACCAAACAAAGCGAGAAAACGCGCTTGTGAAGCGAACATATCATCGAGATGACAAAATATATGAGTATTTCAACGTCTTGACCATGTAAAAAGCCCAGAAGATGTTATAATAAATAGACTTACTATTGCGCACAGTCGATAAGTTGATACTCATTCGATCGTTCGAAGCATTCGAGCACACCCGCATCTTGCCATAATATCTTTGTGTGTTCATAGAACTCCTAAAAAAAAGAAATAGCGAAAAGTTACATAAATCCGGGCCAAGAAAGGCAGCACAAGACGAAAACACATTTATGTTTGTTCAAAGCGCTCGACTGCCCTCTGCTCAAACTTCTGGTTTCCATAATTAGAAATGTGTACTAAACTACGAGCGAAACCGCTCGTTTAAAACTTGATCTATCGAAATTTACTTTCGATGCTTTCACCGTTCTTTTACAGAGAAACTAAACTACTAAAGATAACGATTATAGCAAAATATCATCTCGCCTTACCGGGGGATAGTCGAAGTCTGGCGTCGTGGCCACTTCATGCAAGTAGTCGATTCTGAACTGATTATTAGGGTTAGCTAACCTCACCGGCGGAGTTAACGTCGGCATAGCCCCTGTAATGGTCTAAAACACAAGAATTATGTATCTTACAAAAAAATAGAAGCGAAAGGAATCGAAAAAAGCCGTGAAATCGCAACGAATCGCGAGCTAAATGTGGGTGGTAGATTGTAAATAGGCTAGTCTTACCAATATTGCATCTCTAATATTCTTCTTTATATCTTCTATTTTTTGCCTCTTTTCCCTGTGAGAAACGAAGCAAAGACGGAGATTAACACAAGACGTCCATTATGAATAATTCTTGCTCGATCGGCGCTAGCTTGCCTTCCTCACTCTTAATAATTTGTATGCTAAACAACTGTGACAGAATAGGTGGACACTCACTGCTCCGTAAAACCATGTACGTCGTGTAAAATCCTCATTTGCTTGACGATCGTGCTCTTTCCAGATTCTCCAGCCCCTTGGAGGTTAGAAATAACACTTATTACTTATTCGATCATAACCAAAATCAACCACTTTCAAACCCGATTACTACAGCCATTTACCAAGTAAGAGGAGACGATGAGTAGCTCGGTATGCAATTTTATCATCTCGGAGTTGCTTTTCGATCTTTTTGTTGGTACTTTTCTGATGCCTTTTCGTTTCTTGTTCCTCATCGGTAATGTTGTTGCCGAAACACCCCATCGCACAGAAGTGCGATTCCAGAACGAGGAAAACGCCCCCGTTGTACCACCAAATAAAAAGTTTCTTTTTACGAAGATGAAAGCAGCAAGTTTGGAACTAGCTTGTGGACAGAGCAACACGGCTCAACTTATGACAAATCAAACAGGGTGTGACAAAAGCACGCTTAGCTTTTTGGGATATCTGTACACTAGTTAGCAGAGTAAGTCTGGTGACGAATATGACGTCAACGGCGAGAACACACTGGTTTTGACGCAACCGTGACGTCACTAAACGGGGATTTTCGCACTAAACGAAGCTCTTACCGTCGATTTTCGCTTTTATGGTGGTTGAATAGCACTAAAAGAAATTATAATACTCAATCTAACAGCAATCTTTAAACATTCTTACGCATGGAAACGTCGAAGTACTTTATCTATCACTGGCTACTCGCGATCGCGGCAAGCTTTTTAAACACTACGCCTAAGTATTGATTTAATTAATTTTGCAACAATATGTAACGGTCTGTTAGAACAACTTCACCACAAGAATCACCATATAAAGGGAGCTCTTTTGTGTCACTTATTAGCTACTTTACGCGTGTATTATATTGAGCACTTGAGGTAGCGTTTTCTTGCGAAAAATTTCGTCATAGTTCCAAGATTGCGTATTTAACCAACTAAAAACGTCATTGAGATGATTTTTCCGCAATGTCTAAAAAATCTGACAGAAAAGAAAACTTTCTATATAACGGGAATTTGGTTGAAGGGAAAAATTACAAACTACGTAACCTGTCGAGGTTTAAGTGAAATATGCATTAGAGCACGGAGAATGAAGGGAATTCTTCTTTAAAAACTAACGAGACAGGGTCTGAAAATGTAACTGATCTTCAGCCGTCCAACACTACAGGGCGTTTCTTTCCGATTAGATGATTCAGTGAGGACAGTAATGGGTATCTAGGACTACCCGTGGGTTATAACAGTGGGGACTGTGATGCACCGAGGCTGCCTATCTAGAGCCACACTGGCCCTGAGTATGTCAAGAACACCTGGTTTATTGAAGAGTGGGCGACAAGCACAAATCGATCTAGAACTCAGCCGGTAATCTTCCACGATAAAACTGAAAGTTGACAGTCTGAGTAATTAATTTGTTGTACGTTTCATAGCCATGCAAATAAACTTTTATTTGCATTTTTCAAAAAAAAAAATTGAAACACGTTTATCATCATAGTTGTTTAAAGTATTTTAATCAATTTTATAACGACCAAAGCTCACTCAGGCTCTCTCAACTTGATCCCAGAACAGTGCTCTGAGAGGAGGCCGGAAGACTGGGTAAGACTACTTTCCTGTCGATCTAGCCTAGCGAGTGTTCTGCGTTGAAGGAAAGCATCTACTCGGTAAGCGGAACAAAAGTGTTTTTCATTTGACAGGGCGAAACTGAGTCTGAGAAAATGATACATGAGAGGAAGGCCTCAATCATCCGCAAAGAACGATCGAACAGACTTCTCCTCGCTACCTCCGGCGAAAATTTAGATAAAATTCGATGGCTTAATTATTATCATGTCATTTCCAGGGTTAGTGAAGTGGAGTGGTTGAGGGTTTGGAGGATAAGAATTTTCCTTCAGGTAGGAGCAATCGATATCTGGAAACAGTGTAAAAATGCCAAGTACTTCAAAGTGGCTAAAACGGCGACTCTTTTTCTCTACTTTCAAATAGTCCTAGCTTTCCTTTTGCGGCTTTTAGCTAGTACGGATGGCGCGTGGGTTAAGTGGAGTCGTATGGAGCAAGAGAGCATCAAATAGATTTAATGCTCTCTAACGCAAAGCGAGAAGAGCATGTTTTATTTCATTTCACCTTCAGTAATGCCACATAAGAATAGTATTCAAATTTCAGTTTAGAAGGGAAAAATGCAGGACTGAAGAAATTACCAAACGCCTATATTTTAATAATTTTAGAAACTCTGCCATTGGTGCTGAAAAATTTGCCTTATTAGCTCGGGGGACTTTTCTATACATAGACTTCTATTTATATGATGAAATTACACGCAACACTTAGGCAGACAAAACGGACATGAATCGAGTCGCACAGTCTTCACACTCCCTCTTTAGGATCTGCAGTTGTTACTGATTCTTTATAGCAACTTGAAGTAATGTGTATGTTGTTTGGCATAGAGAAGTAATTGGCACATCTTCCGGCAGGGTGTCTCGCGCAAGTGTCTCGTTTGTGTATGAAAGTACACAATATTTTTTTCTCGTAAAATAAGAAAAAATCCTTTTGTCAACATCAAAATGGGTCTAATATATCCAGGCCTCTTCCACACCCTTCTCTCCCTGTATTACGCCCGAAATAGCGAAGATTATGATAATTTATTACTGCCTTTCACTCGAATTTGGCGCTTCTCGGGAGTCATTGTAAACTTATTCAAGATATCTCGAAACTTGACTCATCAGGGTCGAACCAAACTTCTGGGCTTTTTCCCAAGAGGTTCGAGAAAACTTATTATAAAAAGAAAACGCGCAACCAATCAAACTAAGAGAATGAGGTCTCATCGTCTAAATCAAAAATTTTCCGCGTTCATAGCTCGGGTAAAAAGCAAGTGATATTACTCAAGGAAGTATGTCACACATTTGGAAAATTTTAGAAAAAAATCTTAAAGCTCTTCATCTACAGTCCGCGTTGATTTGAGTTCCTCATTCTTGTCCTTCCTTCTTCTCATTTGGTATTACCTTCCTCTGTTTGACCGCCACGGTAAACTGAAATTCAAAGTTTCCCTTTCAATCAACTATAATTTTTCAATGACTATAAAAACAACGATGACGCAACATTTTTAACATTGAAGAGATCGCCGAGTCAGATTTTGAACAAGCTACAGAAAAAGTACACCGAGACCGCGATCATTTTTTCTTTAAAATAGGCTTCAGAACGTTGCATGTATAACCTTGTGCGTTTAAGGGCAAGTTCTTAAGTCTTTACAATCACCGAGGGGAAACATTGCATAATCTATCATTGTAATACATGCCAAATGCACTTAGAGATACGCGTAATCTGGAGGAGCGTTCCACAATCTTTGCGGTCAATAAACTAGACCGAAAAAAAATGAGAGTCCACCTCCATCTTGAAGTTCATTCATTCGGGTCACTTTTAAAGAATTCTGATATAATTTGGATTTAATTCTTGAGAAAAGCGCTGTCGATGACTTTGATACAAACTTTTTCCTGATAATACACAATTTGAATGGCAGGCATTTGTGACTGCTCTTCTAAAATTGGAGTGGATTCAAATGAAACAAAAATGATGTGCATGTCAGATGTACAAGAAAGGCGTTTCAGAGCCAAACCAGGGTCAAAATAATCGAAAACTAGATAAGATTCAAACCGAAATACGAGAAGTCACCGCAGTCAGTCGCGCGAGTGACAAATTTACACACAGTTCTAAAAATAAGCCCTGAAGACAAAAGAAATTAAAATATCAATAGCACAACCTCCATAATCATGACATTTAGTTAAAATATCGGGGTCTTTTGTTTAATAAGTGCTCAATTGAATCCGAAAGTCTAAAAGCGGTTGCGAAACAGTTCCGCAGAAGGAGAACTTGGCACGCGTTCTGAATTTCGGTTTCTTAGATGCTTGATCCAAATTTATCGACATAATTATTCATTCGTGTATATTTTGCGGTTCTACACAAAAACGCCTGTATTTCCTTTTCAGCGAATAAGGAAACTAACTTGTGTTTATTATTTAACCTTATCTCTATTTTCGGTTTTTTGTTTGAACAGCAAGTGCTAAATATAGAAATATAAATTTAAGTCCTCGAATTGTAAACATTATCCCGTAGCGTCGACAATCACGTTTGTAAAAAGCCTCGATTAACGGCGCTTACATGTCTTCGAACGATTATTGCAAAATATATTTCGTAAACAAAACTCGATTGACAAAAAAAATTCATAAAACAATAATTTTCCGTATAAAGTTTGCGAGGAAATGGTGCAACTTAAATTCTCTACTCAGCAAGGGTTAAAATTCGGCTGCCTTTTTTTAAAC